CCCCCGTTTTTGATCCCATTCCCCACTCCACCCTCACAAAATGTCTCTGGTATATGGCTGTTCATTATTTTTATTATTTTCTCGCCTAGTCCATTAAGAACTCATTGTCTTTTAATATGGAAACCTGACTTCATTTTCATTACTAACGATGAGTTGGGTGCTGGCTTTAAACTTGCTATTCTAGAAGAAAGTCCAACCTTGCCTGTGGCCCACCAGACTCTTCATGACTCCACTTCTATTGCCCTCCCTACTGTTATCTCCTGTCACACCCCCAGGCTCTCCACTCCAGCCGCATTAGTTTCTGCTATTCTCTGAACACACTAGCCTTATTGGTACGTCCACATATTTGAGTTTATTGTTCCTTCTACTCTTCCCCTCGCCACCCGGCATTCTCTAACTCCTCACTTTGCTCTGGTTTTCATCAAAGACTCGTGACAACACAAGGACTTTGTCTTATCAATTAGCGTAGCTTTGGGACCTGGAACAGTCCCAGTCTCTCATGGGTACTCAATGAGGCTTGTTTCTCAGACACCCTGAGACATTTTATAAACTAACAACACCCTGTAATAAATTCTTTTTTGCTTGAAGTAGCTAAAGTGAAGTCTTGTTGTTGAACCCTGACCAGTTCGGAATATGATGCCAGAAGTGGGTGTGGGGACCTCTCAAGGTCTTGGGAGAACTGGCTATCTGATTTCACTGCGCCTGAAGTCAGGAGGCTCTCATTACCACTAGCAACTGGAATGCTAGCAGATGGGCAGCCAGTGAGGAAACAAATTTTAAGAAATCATCTGGAATAAGTGCCTGTTTCGGCAAAGCTTTGATGATAGGTGGTCCGAGTGTGATAGAACAATTAAACAATTAGTATTTAAACTGGGTCAGCTGGCTGTATCTCACTGCCCTAGAGAAAAAATTTTTTTTAAAGATTTATTTATTTGGCATACAGAACTGGGGTAGAGGCCAGAGGCGCAGGGGCGGTGAGAGGTTTCACCAGAGACAGAGTGGGGAGCAGAACAGGCAGATCGAGGAAGTACACTGCTGAAGGAAGCAGCAGGCAGATCAGGAGAGGTCTGCTGCTCCATGTGGGTCACCTCCAGGGTAGGTGGGGATTGAACTCATGCTGAAGTGGCTTTAGCTTCTTAGTGCTGTGCTTTAACCAGCTGCACCACCAGGGAGGGCTCGAGAGAAAAATTTTAAAAGGAAAGGTTGAGGGCTTTAAGATTTTGGTTTACTGCACAGTTAGGAAACCAAGAGCTTCAATGTTTTCCTAAAACAGCTCCTGATTTCATGTGCCCATAGAATTCACTTTGTGAACCCATACAGGTTCACATGGACTATAACGAGATGACTGGAAAGTTGGACAAAGAATAATCCTGCAGAGTGCTAAGTGACAACATAGCCTGGATTTATGGGAGGTAAATTAACTGTTCAGTTCACTGAGAAAGAGATAAACTTCAAGAATTGAAATGTAACACTCAGGAGTACTCATATAACTAGGAGCCCCCCAACCTCCACCAAATATCCCTTCTCATGTAAAGTAGTCCCCGATTTTACATGATGAGTCTAGTTTTGCCTTGTTCAGGCTCCTCAGATGCCTTTACATGAGGTAGTTGTGTTGCATGGGGTGCCATTACTTCTCAAGGCTCCTCCCTGCCACCACGCAGGTCTCTAAATCTTAACCAAAGTCAGATTCCAGCATGATCCAGGGGTGTATATTACAAAGATAAAATAGGGGGGAAATATTTACATAGTAGAAAGAACTAAAATTTTGCTGACTTATAGTGGGGAGTTTATGTGGAAATGGATCTCACAGGAGTAGAATCAGAGAAGAATAATAATTTTGGATTGGGATGATTATAACAATATGAGCACAATTAACAGAGATTCCCATTCCAATGGACTGCCTGGGGCAGTGAGGAGGCACTGTCAGTGATAGCTGTGTTGGATAACTGAAACCTGGACTAAACCGCTGGCTGCCTCTGCCCAATGCAATGGAAATGCCAAAAATTCATGAATAAAATGAGGAGGAGAAGGACCCTCCCTGGTGGCGCAACAGGTTAAAGCACAGCACTAAGAAGCTAAAAGCCACTTCCGCATGAGTTCGATCCCCACCTGCCCCGGAGGTGACCCACATGGCACGGCAGACCTCTCCTGGCCCGCCCGCTGTTCCCCTCAGAGTGTACTTCATCTTTCTGTGTGCTCTATTCCCCACTCTGCCCCTGGTGAATCCTCTCACTGTCCCTGCACCTCTGGCCTGTACCCCAGTTCTGTA